GATATTTCAGCAACAGACTTCAAACCTGCTAAATGCAATGGTATGATATTTCCACAACGGACTGTATTTCTAGTATGATTTCTAATGAGATTTCCAGTAAGATTTCTAGTGGGATTCCTTGTAGTATTTCTACTAGGATTTCTAGGGGATTCCTAGTAGGATTACTAGTAGAATTTATAGTAGGATTCCTAGTAGGATTTCATAGTAGGATTTCTAGGTGATTTCATGTAGGATTTCCAGGATGATTTCTAGTAAGATTTCTAGGGAATTTCTAGTAGAATTACATCTAGTTGGATTTCTACTAGTATTCCTAGTAAGGTTTCCAGTAGGATTTCTAGTAGGATTTCTAGTAGGATTCCTAGTACGATTTGTAGAATGATTTCTATATCATTCAACGCTGCTAAATGGAATGCTTTGATATTTTTTACAACAGCCTTGAACCCTGTTAAATGCCATGCTATGATATTTCGACAACAGACCTCAATGCATTGTTATGATATTTCAACAACAGACTTCAACCCGGCAAATGCAATGCTATGATATTTCAACAACAGACTTCATCCCTGCTAAATGCAATTGTATGATATTTCCACAACAAACTGTATTTCTAGGATGATTTCTGGTAGGATTTCCAGTAAGATTTCTAGAGGGATTTCTAGTATTATTTCTAGTAGGATTTCTAGAGGGATTCCTAGTAGGATTACTAGTAGGATTCCTAGTAGGATTTCGTAGTAGGATTTTCTAGTAGGATTTCTAGGCGATTTCATGTAGGATTTCCAGAACGATTTCTAGTAAGATTTCTAAGGAATTTCTACTAGTATTCCTAGTAAGGTTCCTATTAGGATTTCTAGTAGGATTCCTAGTAGGATTTGTTGTAGGATTTCTATATCATTCAACGCTGCTAAATGGAATGCTATTATATTTCGATAACAGACCTCAATGCATTGTTATGATATTTCAACAACAGACTTCAACCCAGCAAATGCAATGCTATGATATTTCGACAACAGAGTTCAACCCTGCTAAATGCAATGGTATGATATTTCCACAACTGACTGTTTTTCTAAGATGATTTTTAGTAGGATTTCTAGATCATTTCTAGTTGGATTTCTAGGGGATTTCTAGAAGGATTCCTAGTAGGATTTCTAATAGGATTTTTAGTAGAATTCCTAGGTGATTTCTAGTAGGATTCCTATTAGTATTTCTAGTAGGATTCCTAGTAGGATTTCCTAGTAGCATTTCTGGTATAATTTCTAGGTGATTTCATGTAGGATTTCCAGGATGATTTCTAGTAAGATTTCTAGGGAATTTCTAGTAGGATTGCTACTAGTATTCCTAGTAAGGTTTCTATTATCCCAAATTCTGGGATATCCCAAATTCTGGTTCTCTGCACGTATTCGCAGTTTGAAATTACGACTTTTTATACCGAAAATATGCCCACTACTGAAAGATGCTATGGGTCACATTTTGCCCAAACCCCCCTGCAGTTTTCAAAATATCCCAAACATTCCAAATTCTACGCCTGATCCACATTTTGGAGAAAAATTCTGGCTTTCTGCACGTATCCGCAGTTTGAAATTCCGACTTTTTTTATTGAAAGTATGCCAATTACTGACTGCGGCGGTGGGTCACATTTTACCCAAACCCCCTTGCAGTTTTCAAAATATCCCAAACATCCAAAATTCCACGCCTGAGCCATATTTTGGAGCTAAATTCTGGCTCGTTGGATGTATTCGCAATTTGAAATTCCGACTTTTTATACCGAAAATATGCCAATTACTGAAAGCGGCAGTGGGTCACATTTTACCCAAACCTCCCCTGCAGTTTTCAAAATATCCCAAACATCGCAAATTCGAGGTCTGAGCAACATTTTGGAGCCGAATTCTGGCTCTCTGCACGTAATCGCAGTTTGAAATTCCGACTTCTTGCACCGAAAATATGCCAATTACTGAAAGCGGCAGTGGGTCACATTTTACCCAAACCTCCCCTGCAGTTCTCAAAATATTCCAAACATACCAAATTCGACGCCTGAGCTACATTTTGGAGCCAAATTCTGGCTCTCTTCACGTATTCGCAGTTTGAAATTCCGACTTTTTATATTGATAATATGCCAATTACTGAAAGCGGCGGTGGGTCACATTTTACACCCCCCCCCTGCAGTTTTCAAAATATCCCAAACATCCCAAATTCGACGCCGGAGCCATGTACCTGCAAAGTTGTAGATGGCAACTAACGATCGTTTCGTCGTCAGCGATTGTCAACTCGAGAACAATCCTTCCAGTAGTTCATTTAGCTCTTAAAACACCTCGAACATATAATTATGTATATTATTCACGCAGTAGCTACACACTGCAACGAATATTAACGTTAAAACTTTACATACAATGGTATAATGTTGAATAGAATAACTGCATGTACTCAGTCATTTTGAATAATTGAGATTTTGTGCCCTACTCTCTTTGATGAATGAACTTTCGTCAGTCATTTGGAAGAGACTTAACATTATTTGACGTTAGTTTAGGTAAGGGCAGACTTTCACTGAGTTGACAAGACGAGTGTAATGAAGAGATTCACAAACACCAACTGATTTTAACAAGCACCCACTGGTCTGAACAAACACCATCTGGTCTGAACAAGCACCAACTGGTCTGAACGAGCACCCACTGGTCTGAACAAACACCATCTGGTCTGAACAAGCACCAACTGGTCTGAACGAGCACCCACTGGTCTGAGCAAGCACCCACTGGTCTGAACAAACACCATCTGGTCTGAACAAGCACCAACTGGTCTGAACGAGCACCCACTGGTCTGAGCAAGCACCCACTTGTCTGAACGAGCACCCACTGGTCTGAACAAGCTCCCGCTTGTCTGAACGAGCACCCACTGGTCTGAACAAGCACCAACTTGTCTGAACAAGCTCCCGCTTGTCTGAACGAGCACCCACTGGTCTGAACAAGCACCCACCAGTCTAAATAAGCACCCTTTGGTCTGAACAAGCACCCAATTGTCTGAACATGCACCCACCAGTCTAAACAAGCACCCACTGGTCTGAACAAGCACCCACTATTCGTTTACCCATGCTGTCCAGGATCACCCCTAAACGTACACTGTACCGTGTCGGGGGTTGATCAGTCAGGGAGCTTAGTTAATGAGCACCAGGACTGACCAATCCTTATAGACGATCATTGATGCGGTGGTCACGGTACTGCATACGTTTAGGGGTGATCCTGGACGGCATGGGTTCGAATCCTGGCCGGGTCAAAGAGTTCTTAGTGATCTATGGCTTGCGCGTTCATGCAGCTTTCACACACACACACACACACACACACACACACACACACACACATATATATATATATATATGTCGTACCTAGTAGCCAGAACTCACTTCTCAGCCTACTATGCAAGGCCCGATTTGCCTAATAAGCCTAGTTTTCATGAATTAATGTTTTTTCGACTACCTAACCTACCTAACCTAACCTAACCTAACGTTTTCGGCTACCTAACCTAACATAACCTATAAAGATAGGTTAGGTTAGGTTAGGTAGGGTTGGTTAGGTTCGGTCATATATCTACATTAATTTTAACTCCAATAAAAAAAGTTGACCTCATGCAAAATGAAATGGGTAGCTTTATCATTTCATAAGAAAAAAAATTAAAGAAAATATATTAATTCAGGAAAACTTGGCTTATTAGGCAAATCAGGCCTTGCATAGTAGGCTGAGAAGTGCATTCTGGCTACTAGGTACGACATATATATATATATATATATATATATATATATATATATATATATATATATATATATATATATATATATATATATATATATATATATATATATATATATATATATATATATATATATATATATATATATATATATATATATATATATATATATATATATATATATATATATATATATATATATATATATATATATATATATATATATAATGTCAAAGATCGTATGATGTGATAAAAGAAATCAAGATTTAAGTGAAGCATTTGCTACACTTACATCAGGTAACTTAAATCTTAATAGGTAACTAAAATCACTATGAAAGCCACCTTACTTGCATATAACAATGAAGAAAATCCACCGTGCACACTGCCTTATGAAAATACTGCCGCGAAAGGCCGCTCCACTTTCTGCGTTTCATATTATGCAAAGTAGGTGCAGCAGCCTGAGGTGACAAGTGGCCGAGCCTGCCATCGTGCCTGGAGTCTGTTCACCCAACACAGCCCACGGCCTTACTAATGAACCTTAAAGGTTATGTATACCAAGGTAGAGTGCTGGCAGAAGTGTAGGACGCTGGGGACGGACACTACATACGCATTTAGTAATTACTACCAGATATTTTTGATAAGTACTGTTGTTAGTATACTTTAGAATGATTAGTTGAAGATATAATAGCCAGGATAAGCTTACAAAGAATGCTCTATTAGGCATATATCTGCCAAACTGCTAGTTAAAGCAAATTATAATTTTCAACGGCAATTTGCTCTTACGCACACAAATAAGACAATTTAGTTTACCCACAGCACGGCAAACTGCCTCTTCCCGCTCACCTTCATCACGAAGAAAATACATCACCAGCAAGTAAAGAAGTTTCTACATTTACCTATGTTCTGGCGTCTCAGACAGTGTGAGACGCTCCACCCAGACAATACTTTCCCGCCACAAACGTCACCGAGGCTCCAGACGCACCAGCGGTAGTTACGTAACCGGCTCCTCGTTTAGAGAAGTGGTGACGCAGTATGTGACGTCACTAGGGAGCGTATATGTAGGACAGAACCGGCTCTCTTTAGGTAGTTTTTTGTTAGGTGCACTACGGGTGTTTTCAACACTGCTCGCTGACCACGATCCTCCTCCAAGCTGTTTCGTTCCCAGGTTGTGGCGTGCTTAATCATTCGTAATTCATGTACTTAATCATACATATATATAAACATATGTTTATAGAGCGGGGCACTGCGTTCAGTGGCACCTTATAGAGCTTGGCACTGTGTGTAGTGGCGCCTTATAGAGGTTGGCACTGTGTAGTGGCGCCTTATAGAGCTTGGCACTGTATGTAGTGGCACCTTATAGAGCGGGGCACTGCGTGCAGTGGCTGTATAAAACCAAAAACCTGGTATAAATATAGGATATAAATAAGAGCTGCCTCGCATTGCCCAAACAGAGTTCTGCACATTGTTTATTCTTATGGTCTTATGTTTAGGAAATTTTTTGGCTAACCGCTCTAGGTTAGTTTCAGAATGAAACGAGACCAGAGTTCATAAGGACAACAATGAGAGAAAGCAGCCCGTCCTCCAAACAAAACACGAGTCACGAGTTACAGCCCCGCTCCTGTGCCAGTAAGTCCAATACGGGCTCACTATACAACCCGTCCTCGACTCAAGTCCATTACATTCAGCGGTCAACCCCACAGACGCATTCATAAATTTTAACATGCTTTTCATTCAAAACGGGAATTTTCGCAAGTATAAATTAATATTATAATATATTAGCATATTGTGTATATATAGGCATAGGATAGGTTAGGTTAGGTGTTTAGGTTCTGTTGGCAATTATTTGTATTTGTAGTACGTGGGTGAAGCATTTATAGCGTTGTGATTCGAACAAAATTCGTCCGTGAAGCACTTGTTCCGGATATGTTCGAATGTCAGCAGTTGTGAGTCGTGTGTAAACCGCTTTTCATTCATAAACAGGGGGTTTGGCGGGTGGGTGGAATCACTTTTGGATCTTTGTTTGGAGGACGGGCTGTTTATGGATGAAAAACGGTTTACACACGACTCACAACTGTTGACGTTCGAACACTTCCGAAACAAGTGCTTCACTGACTAATTTTGTTCGAACCACAGCGCTGCAAATGCTTCACCCACGTACTAATAATACAAATAATCGCCAACAGAACCTAAACACCTAACCTAACCTCCTCTATATATATATATATATAAACAATATGCTAATATATTATAATATTAATTTATATTTGAGAAAATTCCTGTTTTGAATGAACAGCATGTTAAAATTTATGAATGCGTCTGTGGGATACGACTGCTGGATGGAATGGGCTTGAGTTGAGGACGGGTTGCAGAAAGTCATAAATAATCTAAGGCGATAACATCAGTAATCATACACACGTTCGTGTGTATGATTAATTTATTTTTTACCCTTTTGTATCTGAAGTTTAAATTACATAAATAACAATTAATTGTTAACTAGAGTTGTGTCCGCTGGCGATGTAATTACCGTTGGTAATATGATGATCAGGTCATTACAGTTGTTCCGGCGTCCGATAGAGTGATACGAGGCAGCGTCGAAGGGAAGCCTGGCTGGTCGGCAGTCTTAACGGAGCAATTTGTTATGGTGAATCGCGGTGAGTGGTAGCGGGAGCTGGACGTCCCCAAGGCGGCGAGTGACGGGGGATCTATAGCCTGAGAGCTGGGCGGGCGTGTATGTGTACTTGGATCCTGAGTCACGAACGGTGAGTACAGACTTTTGCACATTGCCGCAGAGTAATTGGCTACGTATCAGGCCATAGTTCAGACTAAAATCATGTCTTTCATGTGCACATAAGTCACTGTGTTTAAACAAAACATAATTGCACTGATTGTCACTGAATTCAATGGTGACGAAAGACGGGATGTGTCACACCGAGAATTTGGAGCTGATTATGTACTGTAATAAAAGATAACCCTTGGCTGCTTGTAGTGCTGATGATACAGGCTGTAATTGTGTTGTTAAATTAATTAAGGGGCACTGATACACGCGTACATTCAGGAGTTGAACAGCTGAGAGCAGTGTCTGTTCAGTGAGGTGCCAGTTACCTTGTACAAGGGCTCGGGTTCCTTATAATTTGAAGAATGAAGCCGTAATGAAACCGATAGAATAGTCGGACTCCACCATGCTGCCGTCAGTGTTTTAACCACGGCTGGTTGAAGGGGACTGTATTATTAAATCTGATTGCGCTTTCTCATCTATTATGAGTAAATTGTTTGTTACTGTTTATAAATGTATTTAGAATAGAACTGGCCACGAGCTGGCAAGCGTGTGTGTGTAATACAATACCGATGAAGGGTTTGGTCTGAGGTTAGATTTTGCAAGTATGTTACCAACCGTCGTGAATATCTACCAGAGGGCCTTGAGTAGGGAGATTGTTGACCTACCCCAAGTCACGTAGTGTATGAACTATTGCTATGGCCATACTGAGAGGCCAGACACTCCACATCTTAAATATCTTCCTCGTGTTATGGCCTCGCCTGTGGGAACACTTCATCTGCTACGGCTGGATATTGTTCTTTCTAACAATTCTAATATATCTTGGATATTTACCCTGCTTCATCGCATCAAATTTCTTTAACATGCCATGAATATTTGTGAGCCCAATTGTTTTTTTTTCTGTTGGTGGTGCCGGGGTTGTAAGATGTGGCTTGGCTGGGAATTGGGTCAGAGCTGAAATTATGTGGAAAAAGTTTGGTGATTAGTTTAAGAGGCTTATGTGTAGTATTAGATATAATGAATAATGCTTGTGGTACTGAATGGACATGACGGATAATGTTTGGGGTGGAGAATGTGTTATTCGAGGTAACGTTTTTGAGGCAAATGTGGCTATGACGGGGTAATGTTTGGATTGAGAATGTAACTTGCGTGATAATGTTTGAGGGGAAGAATAGTAAATGATGGATAATGCTTGAGGGGATATTTTAGCAAGGAGTAGTTAAAGTGAGGGTCCGTGAGAGACCATTAAGGCATGGGGGTGAGAATGGGATAAGGTTATGGGTATAAAACGGGAGAGGGGATGAGTATAGCTGGTGAAGCAGTGGGGAGAGTAGGTGGCTTCACTCGCTGGGACTTTGGTGCAGCTTCGGGTTGTGAACGATTTAAATGTTGGGAGGCTGAGGATGACTGGTTGGAAAATAAGAATAAAATATACCTCCGGAGGTATATTGGTCCTAATGGAAATCGTTTTTTTTTTACCTCCCATTCCCTTATCTAATTGTCTTGAAAAATAGTAATCTAATACTTGATTAGCTCTTTTCATCATATTCGGCACCAATAACCTACCTGTTACGGTGCCTGTACATAGTCTTGTTAATCAGTCATATTGCTTCTGCGTAGTTATAATCAATGATGTTCGTAACACGTTCATAATTTAACCTTCGCTTGTAAGCACCCAACCCTTCCACCGAATAGACAGTACGTTTTAATACCAAGTTTAATAAGTACATTCCTGATAGTCTGCATAGTACATAAATACACTTAATTATGTCCTTATATATACCCCTATATATTCTCCTAATTTTGTGTTAATCAGCCCGTCCTTGTGTTAATTCACTCATAATCTTTAGGTTGAAGTTTTCGTGTTCAACATTATATACAAATGTTAATATAATATATTAAATTTCTTTTTCACTTTTATTAAACAATATAAATTTCATACAAAACTTTAAAATGTCCTGTGTTACTTTATAATTTATTGAAAGTCTAGTTTTGTTTTATTAGTTTTATAAAATTGTAATATCAATATAGTTATTGGTTAAGTACTAATTGTAATTAGGAAGCAATAAATGCTATTTACATGCTTGTCCTCCTACACTCCCAAGGTCGTCTGTGGTCGTGGTTTTCTATACAGCTTTTCAGGTAAACTCAAAATAATCACTATTTTTTGTGCGATGCTGGCGATTGTGTATTTATGTACTATGCTAATAGTCAGGAATGTACTTATTACATTTAGTATTAAAACGTACTGTCTATTCGGAGGATGGGCCGAGGCACCTGATGTCCTGAAGGTGGTCTAATGACAATTGTAGATGGAGGTTAGTATTTTTCCTCCTTAACTTCAATGTTCTTAAATAAATTATATATATATATATATATATATATATATATATATATATATATATATATATATATATATATATATATATATATATATTGGTGTATACTGGCAGCAGGTTTTCTTTCAAACATGTTTCATTGAATATGACCGCATATTCTGTATTTATTATTTTCTGGTTTAGGGCTTCTATCCCTCTAACTATTTTCTTAGCATCAGGGCTTAATTGAAATAGGAGTTCTCCAAAACTCATTTTCGTACTTTTAAGGTGAAGAAAAGAAGTGATTTACTATAGAGTGTATTACACTTATTTGTATAATTTGCACGACGTTTCGAACCTCCATGGTTCATTCTCAAGTGAACAGATCTTACAATACTAGTTGATTTTATACCCGCATTAGGTCAGGTGATAATACAATGAAGGTGAAAACATGGGGGGATACATAAGGGATAAACATAGGGGCTGCAGAAGGCTTATTGGCCTTCATGTCATGAGGCCAATAAGCCTCATGACATGAAACAAGCCTAATGTCATGAGACAAGCCCATGACATTACTCTAACAAGAGAAATGTTGAACAAGAATACTTGCATAATAGACAAAACCCAAGATTCAAGAAGATTACAAATTCTTGAGGCAATTCACATAAGAATAGAGCGACCTACCATGAACATTCAAATCACGGAACTATTTACTCTACCCACCATGAGAGTAAGGACAAGACAAGAACATATCGATGCCAACACAGAAGACAATGTCCAACATAACAGGCCAATTACACTGGATTAATCTTTGTGTTTAGATAGGAGATGCCTCGTATGGGCCAATAAGCCTTCTGCAGCCCCTATGTTTATCCCTTATGTATCCCCCCATGTTTTCACCTTCATTGTATTATCACCTGACCTAATGCGGGTATAAAATCAACTAGTATTGTAAGATCTGTTCACTTGAGAATGAACCATGGAGGTTCGAAACGTCGTGCAAATTATACAAATAAGTGTAATACACTCTATAGGAAATCACTTCTTTTCTTCACCTTAAAAGTACGAAAATGAGTTTTGGAGAACTCCTATTTCAATTAAGCCCTGATGCTAAGAAAATAGTTAGAGGGATAGAAGCCCTAAACCAGAAAATAATAAATACAGAATATGCGGTCATATTCAATGAAATATATATATATAATATATGTCGTACCTAGTAGCCAGAACGCATTTCTCGACCTACTATGCAAGGCCCGATTTGCCTATAAAGCCAAGTTTTCCTGAAATAATATATTTTTTCTAATTTTTTTCTTATGAAATGATAAAGCTACCCATTTCATTATGTATAACGTCAATTTTTTGTTATTGGAGTTAAAATTAACGTAGATATATGACCGAACATAACCAACCCTACCTAACCTAATCTATCTCTATAGGCTAGGTTAGGTTAGGTACCCGAAAAAGTTATGTTAGGTTAGGTTAGGTAGTCGAAAAATAATTAATTCATGAAAACTTGGCTTATTAGGCAAATCGGGCCTTGCATAGTAGGCTGAGAAGTGCGTTCTGGCTACTAGGTACGACATATATATATATATATATATATATATATATATATATTGCAACCCGTTCTCGCAAATTTAATAAGTCAATATTGACTTATTAAATATGTGCATAGGTGACATACTTAACATAATAGATACCCTTAAAAAGATTCATAGAAAACACCGACCTTACCTAACCTTGTTAGTATCTTAAGATAAGCATCTTATTGCTTCGTAATTATAATTATTACCTAACCTATAATAGGTATAGGTTAAGTAATAATTGTAATTACGAAGCAATAAGATGCTTATCTTAAGATACTAACAAGGTTAGGTAAGGTCGGTGTTTTCTATGAATCTTTTTAAGGGTATCTATTATGTTTAGTATATCACCTATGCACGTAGTTAATAAGTCAATATTGACTTTACGAATTTGCGAGAACGGGTTGTATATATATATATATATATATATATATATATATATATATATATATATATATATATATATATATATATAATATAATGTAATATGTGCTTTTAACCTAAAACAGAAAACTACATACACACAACAACACAAAATTATTTCGTTTTATCATTTTCTGTTAGACTAACTCCATACACAGGGACGTGTGTCTCCGCAGTAATTAATGGAAAAAAAATCCAATGAACCGGAGGCAGGGACGGAAGTGCCAGATTGGGCCAAGTTCATTAATTAAGACTTATGGTTACTGCCTCAGGAAGAGATTCGTCTTAATCGTTAATAAGATTAACATATTGTCCGAAAATGTTCAAACTTCACTACTCGCGGAATGAGGAAACAAATTAGTTAATGTAAGTTTAGCTTAATTATATTTATATTAAACTTCTGAAAACAAAAGCAAAACACTGTAAATACAGGTAGTCAACTTGGGGTTCTGTTGCAGTGCAAGTTTTTGTTAATTATAAATACGTGCACTTGAAATTACGTATTTTAATGATTGTTAAAAATCACCCTCAGTTAACGGTCCAGACTTGATTATGTTGGCATGATTACGTGCAAAGCTAATGACTTTACTGTAGAGAGTATCTGAACTAGAACCAGCACTCCCGCGCCGAGAAAATGTTAACATTATCCCCTGGAACACATT